CGCAGGAGAGGTGATTCTTGATGCTGTCTAATTTCTACCAAGGGGAGCAATCACTAGCACCAATTGCCAAGTCCATGCACGGGACGAATGGCTCATACAGAAACGCGTAGGCAACTCACCAATCAATTGGATAAACATAGCTTAGGTCATCTTCAATGACTTTGACATTAGACCTATGGTTTTCCATTCTTGCTAGGAGACCATTTTAGCAGCTTTTGATACTACCAGTAAGGCTGCAAATGATAATCATTATATTTCTATTTTTCTGTTTCAGAACAAGTTTGGAACATAAATTCGTTTGGTAGCGTAATTTCATTTTTCAATTTCTGGAACAAATTTTGATTTCAAAAATAGGTTTGAAACAAAAATGATAAATAAAAATTTTCTGCATTTCTATTTCTGGAACAAAAATGAGAAATTCTTTTCATCCTTCGCCCTCGCTACTAGCTGGTCGCCCACTTACTGCCCATCGCCGACCACTTGCCAGCCCTTGCCTCTCACCGTTTGTCGTCTCCAGCCGCCGCCTGCCAGTTGCCATCATCCCGCCACCGCCTGTCACTGCCCACTGTGGGCCGTTGTCCACCAGCCACCGTCTCCCGCCATCGGCCGCTAGCCTCCCGTCGCCCTCCTCCCGCCACCGCCCATCACCGCCTATTGTGGGCCGCCATCCGCTGGCCACTGTCTCCTGCCATCGGCCACTGGCCTCCTGCCGCCCTCCTCCTGCCACCACCCCACTCCCACCGTTGGTCGTCGCTTGCCTCCTACTACTGCCCAGCGCCGGCCGCCGTCCACTGCCGCCTCCCCCCACCGTCCGTCGCCTGCCATTCGCTGCCACCGTCCGCCCTCCTCCAACCATTGCCTCCCCCTCCTACCGCCGGCCGTCGCCCGCCTCCCGCCATTGCCCGACGCCAGCCGCCGTCCTTCGCATTGGCCGCGTTGCCGTCCGCCGCCTCCTCCTGCCATCCACCGCCCATCGTCCGCTACCGCCATCCGCCCACCGTTCGCTGCTGCCATCCGCCCACCGTCCGCTTGCTGGTCACTCGAGAGGAAGAAATTTTGTATTGTTATCAAACAATTTTTTGTTTCAGGAATGGAAATTTTGTGTTATTATTAAACGTGTTTTTTTGTTTAGAAATTCATCCAGGAACAGAAATAGAAAAATCTATTTTTAGCCATAAATTGATTTCTAAAACAGAATAGTTGTCGTTTGCATCCTAATCTGCTGCAGTTTCTTTTCTTTTTTTTATAATTATTTTCATCTGCACGCGTACGAAATTTTGTGGTGCGCATATGTCGAAAGCCTCGAATATTAATTGTTAATGATTCATCGTGATGATAATTTGCAGAAGGTTTCCATCACACGTGAAGTTTCGTCCATAGATCTATCAATCATCGGGTATCTCCACTCCGGGCACAAAAAGCCAAAGGTGACAAAAGCTTTTTGAGTGGTTGCTTCATTTGCAATCCCGGGTGATTGCTATTCATTGCGTAATCAGATACCGCTCGATTTCTTCGTTCTTTTCCACTATGAACAGAACAGCTCAAGCAACTGACGTTCAATCCGGTAAAGAAAAACAAAAAGAAATGATTATCAGGAACTCGCTAGTCTGATAAGTAGACTGGAACGACAGAAAACATTGGTGCAGGAAAGAATTGAATAAGCCGAGGGAAAGAGAAGTCTAGGGTTTTTTCTTGACAGAAGAAAGTGCATGTTCGACTGGCGAGAATGCACAAGTCTCAAATGGTGAATAAACCCCACTTGCTAATTGCAGTGTATCCCCACATTCACATGGCCTGACTGCGGAACTCATTATGTCTCATGCACATGCAACTCTCTCTCTCTCTCTCTCTCTCTCTCTCTCTCTCTCTCTCTCTCTCTCTCTCAACAAGACATAAAACAATTAATTGTAATTTTGTTTTGGAGGAGATTAATGATGATGATATTGATGACGTATTGATGACAAGATCAGAGAAATTTCCTCTCCAATCTCATCTTAGGATACGCCTTCAACCATGTAGTGCCCAAAGCAAGGCAGGAAGAACTCATTTTTTGTCGAATGGGAACAAAGAATGCTGCAACAGGAGAGTAGTGAATACTAATTATATAAGAAACTCTTTAAAGGTGGATTTCTTATAATATATAATCATGAGAAAAATAAAGCTGCAACATCTTGAAACTTGGTAACACTTGTATTATGCGCATGCGTCATATTTGAATCTCTAAACAACAGTGATTAAGTGAATCCCCTTTTCTAATTTTAGATATAAGATTTATGATCAATATATTTTTTTGGGTAAATATCGAACAACATATTCATATTTCACCCAATGACTACTTACATATCTTTACTTTTGAAAATACCAAATACATACCCGAGATTTACCTTTGAAGACAACTTTGCATGCTCACATCAATTATCCTTGTCCCCTATTTACAAAAATGTCATTTTCTTCCAAAAATGCCTATTCCCAAAACCTAAATTCTTAAACCCACCAAAAAAACTCAAAACCAACTAATAATCGAATCAATAGAACAACCTAACCCTTAAGCAAGACGCTAGAATGAGTTTGTGAGGAGGGACAATTAGGATTTAGACATATGTTAGTTGCATTTAAAAAAAATGGTGATATGTAAATGATATTTTATTAAAATCTATAGTTGATTTGACTTGTTGTCACGTATTTTCTAGATAGTAAAACCATGTAGAAATATGTAATATCATCATATTCTACTAACAATTATCATATGTCGATGACCGGAAGTTAGTGAAGGTCGTTTGCTTTATCTTTGCTTAGTAATTTAGTCTCGTATGTGTACTTTCGGTACCAATAGTTGATGAGAGCAGAGTTTGATCATTTATGAACAAAATTATCGATAATTTGAAGAATTGACAACTTGATAAATTGACAGCTTAAAGGAATAGACAAAAGGTAAAATCAACAATCTTAGATACGACTCTCAAAGAAGTAACTGTTAACGTAGTGGAATAAAACAACAGTCAAGATAGTGGAGTCGAATAAACTGTCAAGGTAATGAAGACAACGTAACTATTGATGTAACCATTTGTAACCTCTATTTGTAACCAACCTTTATAACTTCTATTGATAGCCGTCGATTACAAGCTTTAAATAGTCACACCATACTCTTCGGAGACCCTCCCTTCGCACAAATTAAACAAATTTGCTATTTTTTAGTTATTTTTACTTTGATACGTTATACTTTTATCTTTCGGATTCACGTTATCGATTAAATTCAGGCATACATCTCTATCCTGGTGCATCGTTGATTAAATTCAGGTGTAATATCTTTGCGTTTTTAGGCGTTGCCGTCGATTGAATTCTGGCACAGTTTGTTGATGCTTGATTCTGTTGTGGTGACTGTACTTTACAAGCATTGTCATCGATTAGATTTCGACACGGTTTACACTTGTGTAGTTCCGTTTGAATAGAAGTGGTTGATTTCCTCATTTACATGTGATATTTCATATCCTAAGTCATCATAGAACTTGTCTCCTTAAATTAAAAATCGAAAAACGACTTTCGGTGGAAGGTATGTCGTCGCATTTGCAAATATGAAAGTTAATTAGTGTTTTTACGTGGTTACACCACGTGGCATGATCACATAGGAGCTTTAAGTCAATTGCATTTTTTCCCAATTTTACTCTAGTATATTGTAATGAGCTAGAATTTATGGTTAATGAAATTTGATTTGAGATTAAGAATTACTTTTTCTTAAAAGGTTAGAACATGACTGTTTAAATTCTATCTCTGTATGAGATAGATTAATCTTTTTGAGATGGCACAAAAAATTACACGGATTTAGTAAAATATCTAAATCTAAATACCGTATATAAAGCAAGAAGACAAATTTTAGGAAACTAATTCACCATCCTTTAAAAAAGAAGACACTGGCATATTCATTATTTAATGGCTGAAACCTATTGCTCCTCTTTTTTTTTCCCCCTTGGTGCCATTCTTATTGTTGTCCATTCTATCATCTTCTTTCCCTCGATAACATGTGCACTGCCATCGCCGCCGCCGCGAGACCTCTCTCTGTCTCTTACTGCGATGCTCTCAGTTGGCATCTCTCTTACTACGTGCCGGAGGGAGAAAAAAGGAGACGGTTGATTTATTTTCCTTTAACGTGAAATCATGAGTTTATATGTGTAAATTTGTTAAATGTTACTCACGTTTACATTAAACACATTGAATGCTGGATCGAGATGGACACAAATTTTATTTCTTGCTATTCACAACATAAAAATGTGCACACTGACACTTTCTATAGAAGCTCCGGCATTTACATTAGACACTTCGTAAAATGAAAAGTTGAAAAATTAGGTGCTAACATTAAGCACGTACCAAAATGGGTACTCACATTTGCACCTTACATGTGCATTGGGTAAAATTGTTTCCTTTAGGTCCAATTCTCTCTCCCATAACATGTGGTATAAATGGGTACTAACAAAAATGTAAATATTGAAATTCACCGCTATACGTTTAGATAACGGTCTTATTCCTTTAAAGCAATATTATTCTCTAAAATAGTTTCGCTATAATTTACACGGTTAGAGAATTAAAAAATGGTGTTGCGCTGCGACTTTAAATAAATTAATGTCATTCTCAATAATCAAGACAATCTGTACTTATTTCCGTATATTTCTTCGAGTATAATATTGGATTTTAATTTATCTTTACACAGGTGAGAAATGACCCGATTAAAATAATTTTAAAATCCTTTGACCCAAAAAAAAAAAATTAAAATCCTTGGAAGCGGAAACGTAAGTTGCACTTACAATAATAGTGAAATTATATTAAAAAAAGGGAATCGATTTAGTCGCAAAATAATAGTCAAAACTCGTTGATCCGTTCTTTGAATCTCGGGAATGTGAAAAACCTCCTTCCATTGCCTGACGAATTCTGGGAAACCTAAAAAGGAATGATTGTTTGGGCCTCTTTTGAAAATATAAGAACGAAGAGGCGCATATCATGTCGCTGCCCCTCTCTCTCTCTCCTCTCTCTCTCTCTCTCTGTCAAAACAATTTCTTCTCCACAACCGTCCAAACAAAGAGACTTGATGGAAAGTGAGATTTTGCTTTTGCGAGATCCATTCTCATTGTGTCCTCCTTCCGTGAATTGAATCACTTCGCCCACCATGAACAAGCCAGCAAAGTTCGTTCTGGACACAACATCCATCCCTCCCATCTCTCTTGATCTCACGATTCTCAAACACCATGCGTCAGTCGAAGCCAGGCTCCCCAGATAAGAGCTCAGATCCCGCAACTTATCTCAATCCATGGCTCGAGCCCAGATAAAGAACAAGCTTGAGGGAGATATTGTTATCGGTATCCGTCGTCGAGAGGGGCAGGTCGGGTCTGGGGGTTCTGCGGCACGATCATGGTTCTAGCTCGAGATCAGCTTCCTGGCAAACGTCGTCATAATCCGCTTGTTCCTGCATGTGTTGTGTCTGATCTAGCAGTTATTCTTGATCTTGGTCAGATGGCTGAAGATGAATCAAGAACTAACAGTCTCAATGAGGAGGCCTCATCAAGCTCAAAGGATGTTGGAGATCAAGAAGAGAAGGATGAGGCGTGGCTGCAACTAAGCATATGTAGCCATACTAGAGCGAACAACGGTGACAAAAGGTGTGATCAGATTGAGCCAACTGGTCAAGGAATTAGCCACGGAGTATCGGTCGAGCTCAATCTATTACCAAGCGGATGTTCCTGGCACCCGACACCGCCCTTAACCCCCGTCTTTGATGTGCCTAATCTTAGAGCTTCTAGGCCAATTACCAATTTTGCTAGTGATAGAAGTACTAATCATAGCTCATCATATCTCTTTCAACACCCTACACGTAGTTCGACTTTTCCCACTCATGGGTTCGATTGGCCCAATTTCTCATCGTCATCACTGCAGTGTTCCTCATCTTCTTCCCTAATGCCTCCGCGGTCGAATCTTCCCCCTCCCTTTCAACTTCAACTACAAGTAGATGGAGCATCGGGGTCGAGCATGGATTTTACGGTAATCGACGCTCCGAAGAGACCTTACCCTGGAGTTTGGTTCGTGTTACGAGCATCACAAAATCAGTAAGTGAAAAAGAGGCAACTCATGAACAAAGATCATTAGTCCCCACTCGTTTCTTTTTCCCATCATTATTTTCTAAAGCCACTTTACATTACACTTTTATCATGCTCTTTCTAATGTTTTTTCTTCTATTTGTTTCTTAAATGCAGAGATAAAGAACCACTCTTGCCCCAACTACCCAAGATTTACCTCAGAGTCAAGTAATACATATACATAAGCTTTCTATTTGGGCTTTTGTGCTTTCAGTGGCTGTCTTCATAGCGATATAGATTTTTTAGGTTTTCTGAGATTTTTTCTCTTATTTGTCATAACCTTCAGGGACGGAAGGATGACAGTCCGACTTTTAATGAAGTACTTGGTCAAGAAGTTGAGACTGGATAGTGAATCAGAGGTACGTACAACAATCGTTGCGTTTTGTATTTAGCCCCCGTTTTAACGAGGATAAAGAGAGTAGCTAGCTAATTAAGTTTGCTAATTTCCTCTCAGTATGATAGAATAATAAGCGAATTTGCATTTGACCAAGATTAAGCGGCTTCATAAGTGAACAACCTATTTCTTGAATGATCGGTTATGTTCATGCATGGACATGGTCGGCATTTGCAAGCATGATAGAAACAGCAGATCTGGAAATTGTTTTCTAGTCTGGCATATTCCTTGTGAAATCATCATATTTAGGTAGATGGTATATGTCGCTGCAGTCTTCGTCTCTTTAGATGGAGCTTGCCTTCACTTCAGTTTACGTTCCATCTTTTTCCTTAGGGAAATAAGACAAGATCTTTGTCTTATCAGGAAAACAAATTGTCATAATTTGATGAGTTTCATTTTCTATTGTTATAGGTCTTTCTGTAAAATGATCATTGTAAAGTGCTTGAGGAGAGATATTATATCGTAATATATACCACTTACCTACCACCTCTCTCGTGACTCGAAAAGAAAAATATTACACATAAGAAATGGGAAATGAACCGAGGGAAAAGGAAGAGATTGGTACTGCCATTAAAAGCAATAATTAAAACCCTCACATTGTACGGTAACAAAAGCAGACAGAAATAACACCATCTTCTATTGATATAGTTGGAAAAACATGAAAAGAATATTTTAGAAACGATCAATTTTGAGAAAAGTTCATATGTCTTTGACAGAAAATGGCCATGTTGCTAGGCCTTTCCTCCCCAACTGTTCCTAGGGTGTTTTTATAGAGAAATAATAAGGTTCATACTTGTGCTGGTCTTAAACTGATTTTGCATTGGATTGTAGGTTGATAGCCCTTGCATTTCCACTTGGTAGAATTTCAACCCGAAAACTTGATGATATTTTAGCCCAGAGAGAGAGAGAGAGAGAGAGAGAGTATTTAATGAAGCTTAAATATGATGTTTGATGTTTCAGCAAGTGTTTTAGATGTTTCTCTTTTAGTCTCGGATAGTTGATTCGAAAAGTGTTGCTCTGCCCGTATACCTTAGCTCTGATTAGCTAGAGAATAAAATTGGCGCTGCAATACATCACACTGATAAGGTCAATTCCTTTTCCAAGGTAATTCACAAGCTAAACAGCACACAGAAACGCCTAGTAGAGATGATATCCTCTTAGTATAGTAGAATAGAAAGTAGTGGTGAGCAAGATGGACCGCCCAAACCGGGATCGGACCGGACCGACCAGTTTGGTCCGGTTCTCAGGAATATCGGTCCGGTTCCCGGTTCCTAAAAGTGGAACCGGTTTATGGGCGGTTTGGTTCCCAGTTCTAGGGTGGGAACCGGACCGAACCGAACTGATAAATACATTCTTTTCTAATTTTTTCATATATATAATATTTAATATATATGAAAAATATTTAATATTGGTCCCATTGGAACCGATTGTTCAATTTTTTCATATATTATATATATTTTTTCAATTTTTTCCATGGCCTTATGGGATCAAATCAAAACTACAAAGGAAATAACGGAACAATTGGTTCCTGATTCACAAATAATATTTAATATTTGTCCCATTGGAACTGAACCGGACCATCGGTCCGGTCTGGTCCACGGTCCCAAGACTAGCCGGTCCGGTCCCCAGTCCTAGAAACGGAGAACCGGTCCTCCCGGTCCGGTTCTCGGTTCTTGGGTTGGACCAGACCGAACCGAGAACTGCTCACCCCTAATAGAAAGCAATATTCAAGAGTCCACTTAGTTAATGGAAAGAATTAAGCTTAATTGTATTCAAAGATTGAATGGATGATTGAATGGAGATATTAACTACACTACATGCTGCATTCACTCTGGATTTAAAAAACCTCGAGTCAATGTACAAAGGACATGGGAACTTTATAGTAGCGTATGTGTTTCCTGTTCGCCATGACTTCCAAAGAACCACTAAAATGTTTCTGCAGGGATCACAAGGGCAATATTCTAGGGTTTTCACGCTTCCAATTAGCGTGAATTGAAATAATTAGTACTGAAAATACTTGTTCATCCATCTCATCTCAGTTAATGCTAGAACATGCATTGACGAGTATTTCATGAAGAGATTTTAGCTCAGTCACCAAGCAATAAAAAGGTGTGGATCATGAACTTAATGGAGGTATGGCGATAATCAAGTCTCCTTAATAAGTATTAGATCCAAAAATTCACAAAAACAATAGAAAAATCAGTTGAACAACCCCTGACATCGATACTACAGATACCCTTAGCTTTGTGTTGCTTGTTTCTTCTGTGACAAGAAGATGACTTTTTTTAGCTCGCTGATATGAACTATATCCGGTTCTCGTTAGTACAATGAAAACTTGCATGCGTCAACGCCCTAATGCCGCCTTTTTTGTTTCTCTTATGCTTTCATGCCGTGAAGTTAGGACATGACGCCATAAACAATCCATGTGTATTTCACCAACCAATGTCTAAGTACAGTTGTGTTAAACTGCCAAAACCTACTACACGTTCATGTACTTTATTGATTGATTATTCATGCGAAAGTAACGTTGGAGTATATTGCACTCAAAGTTCTCTTTGCCTTTTGATTCCTTATGAAGTTGTCGTGTTCTTTATTGAATTGGGTCAACATGGCTGGCGATGGTTTGGCAATTTCTTCTGAATTTAGAATTGTGGAACTAATTTCCCCTGGAAATTTAAAAATTAATACATGCGTTGCATGTCATTCATGTACTCTACCAGGAGACCATGCTATGTATTGATTCTTAAGCTTCCACTGATTTCCTAAATGATTTAGTGTTTGATTTAAATATATACATCAGATACCATACTTAAACGATAAAATTCTCACTTAAAACAACTTTAAGTGCCACGTCCATCACCTTGTAGATGAAATCTTATCCAATGTATATGGATGGAGCGATTTGTTTGTATCCATTATTATAATTGTTCAGCCGAAAGATACAGATATCTCTGGTTATTAAAGACAAAAAGCTTTCCGCTCTTACTTCATCTAGCCCCTAGATTGAATTTCCATATGTCCGTCTGCACATTTAAGAAGAGTTCATTATTGACTTGAAAGACCTGAATATATCATGTTATAGTTTTTAGACTTGGCATATATAAACGTGCCTTAAACTTATCTTCTTGTCTTAGGGAAAGGTTAAAGTGAACTTAACCTAGATTTCGACCAAAAAAAAAAACTTAACCTAGAACAAGAAAAAATTTCACCTTATCCCATCTCTCTCTCTTTACTCTCCCAGTGCCTTAGTCGCAATAGCCCTAGTCTTTCGTCGCTGCCCTACTGCCCCACCAGTCGCCACCGCTCATAGCCCCGCCAAATGACTCTGAAACCACACTGCCATCGTGCCGCCACCTCCGCTGCCTAGACTGTGGCTCGCGTATCTCTCTATCTCCATGTCGACCCACCCAAATGTGGCAGATGCAAGAGAAGAGAGAGGCGAACGAATCCGGGCACAATGTGGCGGCAGAGGTGATGGCTCAAATCTTGAAGCGACGACAGTGTCTTCAGAGGTGCTGGTGGCGGCATCACGGGGTAAGGAGCGGCGATTGAATCCATGTGACAGGCACCTTTGACGGTGGGTTTTTGGGCTGAGGGGAGAGAATCCGAAAATTAGACTAGTGCGGAATTTTGGTGTAAGTTGACATGCGGCTGATTCATAGGCTAAGATGACTCGTAGATGCTCTTCACTTGTCCAGCAGTGGCTGAGCGTAAACTTTCCCAAATTATATGTGCTCTCTCTATCCTTGGAATAATCTCTGTAAACCCTAAATTTTGCCCAACAATCTTTGTTTCCCAATCCTGTCGTCATGCCTCTCGCCTCCTTGACCTCATCTTGGACAGCTCGAGTAGGACCCTTAACACCCTTTTTAAAAATTTCAACTGACGGTGCTAAAAAAGGGCCCATCAAGAACTATTTTTTTTTTGGTCAGAACATCAAGAACTTCAAGCGGGGCCCTTTGGTGTGGACATATGTATGTGCACATATGATATCAATGTCACCCCATGAGATTCTCTCCACGACCAACCGGAAAATCCACATAATCCTACAATGATTTTGGACGAAATGAAGCCACGCAAACACACCGCATGATTTACGTCGAAGAAAAGCAATTCGTGGGGGGATGATTCGTACAACAGAATCATCCGACACCCAAGTTGCTGAAAGGGACATCTAAGGAAAAGCATGTACAAGACACATTCCATAGTCGAACGATTTGACTTTGATGCCTATACTTATCTTGTTCCTTTTTCTTTTCTTTTTCTTAATTCTTTTTACACGTAGTTGGTAGGTGAAATAGGTTCGAACATTAAACGATACCATCAACAATTCCTATGAAGTACCACCTTCCCAGCTTCTTAATGATTATATCATACTCCAAGAGAATATATTAAATTCATGGTGCGATGGGTAGTTCGCGGAGGAACTTGTATGATCCTTCAAGCTAGGGTTTTGAGAGCAACATGAAGGAAGACGTGCATGGAACGAGGCTGACATGTAGGACTAGAATGGTGGTGATTTTATTGTTCTTTTTCTGGGATAGGCTTAGAAAATGATGACTTTTGGGTAGCTACCTAATATATTGTGGGTATTTCTATCGTGTTTATGAATCATTCAAATGACGTTTCTTTTTCAAGTTGCTGGTGTGACATGCTTGTTCATATTATTTTCTCGTGGAGACGAGGGGATACATTGATTCTAATGTAATGCATGTCTAAGGGGTTGTGACCTTATGAGCTAAAGAATTGGTGGACCTAATGAAAAGATTCATTTAACATATTTGCTTGAATGTGCATATTAAGACTATTGTGCACGTGTCAATATCTTCATTCTACTCAAGGAGCACATTCTTTTAAAAATTTGTTAAGTTCGCCGCTTGTGTAAAAAAAAATACTCACACATTTCATTGTTGGATGAGTGGTGTGTGTTTTGGGTTAGTTTTTTAACTGAACTCTTTCGCTTGTCACCAATCTAGTGGTTAGTATATAATTTATTTCTTACATCGACAGTGGATATGGACCTAATAAAAGTCTCTTTCTTTTAAGGATACTTCTACTTTTTTACTCCAATAACCGCGAAAACTACATGGATTCTTAATTTTCTTATGATAAACATCGGTGAGTCTAATCACTTAGACACATGCACATATTTAGATTATGCTAGCTGCTTCTATGATAATGTGCACGCTTTATGTTAGTCTATGTGCGATTAACCATTGTCAATGTTGTTTTGGGTGATGAAAATCAGCAGGTCGAGATAACATGTAGAGGCCAAAAGCTGCTGCCTTTCTTGACGTTGCAGCAAGTAAGAGATAACATTTGGAGTCCAAGTGATGTGGTGACTTTGCTTCCTGAGTCCGCAACAACATCGGATCACATCATGGTACTTCACTACGGTAGGGTCGCCTGAAAAAAATGTAGCTTATACTCACAAGTCCCGACTTTGTATTTATTCTCAAGCGATGTGATCTAATTTATTAATTAAACCCCCAGAGGGTTATTTAGTTTCCTGATCATACATGTACTATCTTCTGTGACATTATTGGTTCTTGCTTTGCATTTTTGGGTCATGTGTAAACTAACCTATGATCTGTCAAAAAGGTGGAGCGGGAATTAGCTAGGTATTTTTATATGCTTTTTGAATGAATTTTTCGCACTTTGTCTTCTTGGTTAAAGAATGAATGTCATTCACTAGAACACTGGGAAAGAATTATCTGCTTTCCATTGTCAGAGTCCAAAAGATGAACCAACAGATACTGAAAAAAGAAGACAGAAATATTGGTGGACTTAGACTTTTATGAAATTACCAATTTTTCATAGTTTGCAAATTAGCAATTTTTACTAACTAGTCATAACTTGCTAAATTTACTAACTCTTCGATGTATCTACTAACCTAATTTACAGTGACTTACCAACTTTTGTCATCAGATTAAACTATCAATTCTCATCATTTGAATTACTTACCACCAACGTTTAATTATTCTTCTTATATTTTATCAGCTTCTCTATTGAGTTATCAACCTTTGTTTGCCTTGGTTAATAATTTCTTACATTTACTAACTCTTTTTAAAGATTACTAACCTAAATTAGCACGAGTCATCAATTTTTCTTCCCTTAAATTACCAGACAATATTGACTGATCAACTCTTATTTGAATTACTTATCAACGTTTAGTTATTTTTTTAAATTTGTCGATTTTTCTTATCATTTACTAGCATTTATTTGAGTTACTTTTTCCTATTGATGTTTTGAATTTTTTACCAACTTTTCGAGAAACCAGAAGTCTTAACTAGAGTAGATCATCAAATTTTCTCCAATTTAAATTATCAACTAGCGTTGAGTTTTACAACTCTTATTTGAATTACTTAGAATAAGCTAACTTAATTTAAGCATCCATACTTTCCATGATGAGTGCCAAGCTATTTGGTAAATCATCAATCAAGCATAATGACAACCGTGCAGATGAGATTGTGGCACATGGGAATTATCTTTTATGAATCCCTTACCGTTATTACTTTATTTGTTGACTCTTCGTAAAGTGTTACTGTTGAGTCACGCAGTGTGTTTTGATACCACTTGTGTTGCAATTTCTCAAAATAGCAAAATACCTTCACTTTTTATAAAATACTTATTCCAAACACACACTTTTTCTACACTCACTCACAAGTTCCTCACACCACTCCCACACGCAGCTCCCTTTCTCACCAATGGAGATTCACTCTCCTTCGCTCTTTCTTCTCTCTATTCTCTACAACTCTGCACACACTTTTTGGCTGTATATACACATGAAGAGGGCTAAGCTATTTAGGCCCCGCTTGGTTCAACATTCTCAAGGGGGCCGAAAGTCCCTTGGGGAAATGCTAGGGCGTTTGGCTAATATTCACAATGGGCTTTCGTTCGAAAGCCAGCATTGGGAATGCTCAAAGCTCAAAACTGGTTCGGACCAACTTTGGGCTTTCAGCATTTACCAAATGCAGAAACAAATTTTTTTATTCCCAAACTATCCTCACTTATTCTTTAATGTTCCGGTTTTGCCCCTTGTTGTTGTTGTTCATCTTCTTCGCGAAAGGGCAGCTGACGGCACCGGATCTGGATAGCGAAGGGCCGGTGAGGTCGCCCGACCCAGGCGACTACCGCCTGGGGTCTTTCGATTGTCTAGGTGCCGTTGGTCACGACCTAGGCCGCCGTCGCCTGGGGTCGCGCAACCTTAGGCGACGGCTGCCTAGGTCGTACGACCCCAGGCGATGACGGCCTAGCTCGAGCGACCCAGGCGATGGCCGCCTGAGGTCGCACAAGTCCAGGCAACGACGCCTGGGTCGCGCGACCTTAGGCCTCGTCGCCTGAGGTCGAGCGACCCCCGGCGAGGGCCACCTAGGTCGCGCAACCCTCACCGGGGGTCGGTTGACCTCAGGCGACGGCCGCTGGCGGCTATAGCCCTTCACCGGCTCCGACGAAGGGTAACCTTTTTTTTTAATAAAAAAGAAAATCCCAAAGCCATTTGCCAAAAAAAAAAAAAAAACCAAACACTACTTGGGCCAAAGTGGCTTCACAAAGAATATTTTACCAAACGTCATTTGCATTTCCCCAAAGGGCTTTAACCTAAAGTATTTGCATTCCCCTGAGGCTCATTTGCAAAGTTGAATCAAACGGGCCTTTATAGCCTTCGCCACCAACATTCTCCAAGAAAATCTTCTTCGTTAACTCCACTAAACATTGCATTTTGGCCATTTCATTGACGACAGTTTTTACCAACCATCATTGACAACAGTTTTTACCGACCACCTATTAAGCTAGAACCACGTACTTTACCTACTCACTATAGGTCTAGAAACTTTTGGGCCCTAAATTTTTCTAGAGAAAGTGAACTTCAGCATTCCCCTTTATTAATTTTCACAATTCTCGTAGCATGCTTCGCTTGATTCCAACGCTAGCTGCCATGCTACAAGATAAGGGAAAAGTGTCAGAGAAGTCCTAAACCTATTACATTAGTGCCAAATTAATCATAAATCTTTTTTTTGTGCCAATTCAAACCTAAACATTTTGTCTTTGTGCCAATTCAGTTCTTCTGACTAATTTTGGCCGGATTTTGCTGACATGGACACCGGCCGGCTTACGTGGCACTGCTGGCGATGATGTGGAAAACTTTTAATAATATTTTTTGATTTTTGATTTTAATTTTTTTAATTTCTTTTCTTCTTTCTTTTTATTTTTTTTTCTTTCCCTTTCTTCTTCCTCCAGCCAGTCGCCAGACCGGCAATCGGCTGGAGGCCAGGGCCGGCTAGGTCCCTCGCCGGCCACTGGCAAGACTCGCCGTCGCTGGCGACGGCGATGACGAGCCTCGCCTAGCCGCTGGCGAGGCTCGCCAGTGGCCGTGTGATGTGGACATCGAACCCTATCGAGGAGGAGGTGCTAGGGACCCGTTGTTCTATCCGCTAGGCCCGATCACTCGAGCGAGAGCGAAGAAATTCAAACAAGCTGTCGGCATCATGGTTCAAGATATTTGGAATGGAAACAATCTGGATTCGAAACTTGAAGATTCTGAAGCTCCTTGGCGCAACATGATTACTCTTGGTCCAGCGAATTCCGAAGGAGCTTAGAATTGACGAACTCCGAATTAGCTCAAATTTGGATGGACGCTTGAAAACGGGCCGCTGATCAATACTCACTCCTTTAGTAATGATTGATGACGTTTTTTAGCGATTTGGAGTCGTAGATGAACTCTTAGGCCTTTTTCCATTTTTGGACGAATTTTTAGTAATTAAGGTTATTTTTGTAATTTTAATCCTAATAGGGTTAGGATTAGGGTTAGCACCCTATATAAGGTTGCTTATAGATTTCTAAGAGGAGGAGGCAGAATTTTATATAGAGAAGTTTTCTTCTTGAGTTATCTTGAGGACTAGATCTTATCAAGGCTCCCTTGTGGCGATCGAAATTCAACTTATCAAGCAAGATCACGAATTCTCTTGTTCGTGGCGTTATAGCGTGGATTGGTTGACACAGGTTCGTCAACAGGTCGCGTTCATACCGAGATTACCAATCACAGGTTCGATTGGGGGTCGAGGTCAGCAATTCGTAACTCACAGTTCTTCATAGAACGATCATCTTCCGCACAGATTCATATCACCGTGAGGTCGCGGTCTTCGACCTCGCCAGCGGTTGGGCGAGGCACGACCTCGCTGGCTAGGTCGAATGGTTGCGAGGGCGGCCTCGCGCTGGGCTGGTAGGGCTCGCCCTCGTCAAATCTGGCGAGGGTCGAGCCTCACCGGCCATTGGTGAGGCCCGACCTCGCTAAATCTGGCGAGGTCGTGCCTCGTCCAACCGCTAGCGAGGGCTCGAGCTATAACGTCCCAGAACGTCATGCGCGACACGTGTATTTTCCAATTATTACTTATAATTTTTAACGCGAAAGCATATTAAAGCATTCACAAAATTCCCATACAAGTTTAATAAAATACACATACATCTTTTTATATACATTAATACCAGTTTTACAATACAACATTCAAACAAAATACATAATTGATGGGAAGGGTCAGGGTCACCTAACTTCAATATTATACTCCTACGCCCAAAAGCCTGCCTATACACTATCGAACCATCAACTAAGGGTCGACAACTTCACCTGACGACAAGTCATCATCACCAAAACCTAGAGGACCAACAAAGTCTCTAAGTAGTCCAACCAACTCGCCCTCAATGTTAACATACCAAGCGACATAACGATGGAGTATATACTCTGGTAACCCCACATCGACCCATATAACGGAAGTACACTTAGTATAAACTACTAGTGATCCAGGTATAATTATATCTTCATAACTATAATCGAAAAACATGGGAGCTCCAAAACGCGGCGGCGCCGTAGAGGTGGCCACGGGCCGGTTTTGGCCCGGTCAAACCCGGGCCCGGCCCGTTGACCGGGCCCGCGGTTCGGAACCGGCCCGTGGCATACGGTCCCGGTTCCGGTTCCAGAAAAATTTGAACCGGCCCGGAACCGCCGGTTCCGGGCCGGTTCTGCGAAAAAAAAAAAAAAAAAAAAAGCTGCAAGTGCAGGCTACAGCACAGCCTGCAGTGCAGGCCACGCTGCAGCAGCCTGCACCTGCAGGCCCGCAGGAGAACGGGCCAACGGCCCAACAAAAAAAAAAAAAAATAGATTTATTTGCAGCAGGGCCTGCAGACGTGCAGGCCCTGCTGCGCCGCAGCACCTTGCGGCTGCGGCGTGCGGCCCGTTGGGGCAACGGCTACGCCCCAACGGGCATTTTTATAATAAAATAAAATAAAAAAAAACATAACCGTTGCAATTTTGCAACGGTTATGTTTTATTTTTTTTAATTCTAAATTTTCTTCTATTTTTTTCTTATAAATTCTCTCAAATTCTCACAATACACACACAATTCTCTCAAATTCTCTCCAATTCTCTTCTCTCAAGTCTCAAATTTTCTCAATACTCGAAATTCTCTCAAATTCTCTGAAATTCTCTCAATTTTCTCAATCCACGCAATTCTTTCTTAATTCTCCCAATTAATCCGCTCAATTCTCTCAATCCATTCGAAAAATGGCAAGTGGAAGTCGAGTGCCAACTGGCAAAGGTAAGAATATCGCGACGGAATCCCATCATTCTTTT